TTTGGAGAGTTCTTGAGAAGAAAGGTGTTGATATGACTTATATTCAAGTCATTAAAGATATGTATACTAGAGTTGTTACTTGTGTTCGAACTGAAAGAGGATTGACCAAATATTTTCATGTTTCCGTTGGATTACATCAAGGATCGACTTTAAGCCCATATCTTTTTGTTTTAGTTATGGATGGTCTTACTGGACAATTACAGGAGGATGTACGTTAGTGTATGCTTTTTGCTGATGATATCCTTCTCGTTGATAAGATGAAAGAAAAAGCCCAGGAAAAACAGGTCTACATTGGAGTCTAAAGGCCTTCATTTGAGTAGAACTAAAACTAAATACATGAAATGTAATTTTATTAGTAGTAGCTCTAGTGACAGAAGTGTACTTTGGGTTGGGTGAACAAATTATTAAAAGGTGTGAACGATTTAGATATCTCGACTCTATTGCTAAAAGCGATGGTGATATAGATGGAGATGTTAATAGTAGAATTCAATTTGAAGTGGAGGACTGCTTCGCGTCTTTTGTGTGATAGAAAAGTACCGCTTAGAGTAAAAGGAAAAATTTATAAGATGGTGGTGAAACCTGCAATTGGTGAAACCTGCAATGCTTGTGAAACCTGCAATGCTTTATGGCGTTGAATGTCGGCCTTTAAAAGAGAAGCATATACTAAGTTAAGTGTTTTCGAGATAAGAATGATTAGGTGGATGAGTGGCTTTACACTAAGAGGCAAAATGTGAAAAGAATATGTTCGTGATAGGGTTGGTGTAGTTCTTAGTGACGAACAAAATTAGAGAGAATCGTCTTAGACAGTTTGGTCACATTAAATATCGGTCATCTGATGATTCAATTAGGAGAGTAACAGAGTAGACCAAGGAAGACTTGGGCTTCTTGTATTAAAAATTATTTTAATTTATTAGAACTAGAACTGTGAAAATATGACACTAAATAGGACACAATGGAGAAAAAGGATTCATGTAGCCGACCTCACATAGTGGGATTAAGGCTTTGTTGTGGTTGTTGTTATTGTTGTTCTATTCTTGGCAATAGAATATTGCGATGGCTGATGTATTGGTGATGGGAAAACAACATTACCATGACTATCTGAATTTAACTTTGAAATCATGTCTGATGATGTATTGTACGCTTTGAAGCTTCACTTGTTTGTTAGTCATCTCCTTCTGATCATCATTATGATCTTTTCATAGGTAATTATAACCATAAAATACATACTTTATAGATCTATGCTCTAATTTAACATTATTAATATAAGCATATGCAAGGCAATCAAAAAGTTTTTAATTAGAGTAATCTATAGGTTTACCTGAGCAATTTTTTTTGTGGAGTCTTCTTATCAAAAGCAAAAG